TCAGGGGATCCTGCAATGCTGGATTAAAAATGAAATTGGTGGGCTGGGAAGGTGGCTCAGTGATAGTGCGCTTGCCTTGCATGCATGAGGCCCTCGGTTCGATTCCTCAGCACCATATAAGCAAAAAGAAAGCCGGAAGTGGCGCTGTGGCCCAAGTGGTAGAGTACTAGCCTTGGGTGAAGAGCTGAGGGACAGCGCCCAGGCCCAGAGTTCTGGCCCCACGACCAGACCCCTCCCTCCGCCCCCCAAAAAATGAAATTGGTGAAGAGACTGTAGTGCTATGTGGTGATCATTAGTGCCGAGTCCCAAACTTCAGTTAACTAGAGAAGACTCAGGTCTTGTACTGGGTCTGGTCTTATACTGGGTCTGCATATTCAGGGCATTGACCTTTGAATTTTGAACTTGGAAGTAGCTTCTGTATGCTTTTTTCTCCTTCGATGAGACCTTATTTAACACATAAAGAAACTGAGGCTGGGAGAAGTTGTAACTTAGCCAGAGAGAAGCATGTTTATTTCTATCTAGATAAAACTGCCTCAGGAAATTACTGTTACTTTACCCTTCACTCTCCCTTCTGGGTGGAAGGTCAATACCATTAGAAGTTCAGGCGCCAGCCTGGGTGGCCAAGCTAATGGAGCAAAATAGTTCCAGCTCCAAGTAATGGCAAACCTGGAGTGGGGCCCAATGTAGGTAAACCCCTGAGCAAAGAATTTGATGTTGATCTTTTTCAATGAACAAGCTTGTGGTAGGACTATGATATATCCTGAGCAGAGAGAAATGGTGGCTCTAGAGACTGATGCCATAAAAATTATTTGATTCCACATTAAGTTTAGATAATGGCATTGCTAAGCAGTGGAACATTTAGGATATTTTCCTGTTCATTAAGAGACGGTCTAGTAAGGTTACTTGTAAAGTTCCAATAGAGTTAAAGACTATTTGAACTTGTTCCCCAAATTCCTCTTAAGACTTCAGATTGTGTGACCTTTAGGTATTACATCTGCTGTGTGTCCTGTTCTGCTGTATCCTATGCATTTGTTTCCTTGTCTCAGTATTTTCTGAGCAAGTGAACTCAAGTTGACTGAAGTGGTTCCTGAAGGGTGAGGTAAGGTGTATTCAGCTTTTCTGTCCCTGTTTCAAAATACCTCACAGAAACAAGGGAGGAAAGATTTAGCCCACAGTTTTTACAATTTCAGTCATGGCCACTTGGTCCATTGCTGTAGGCTGTGGTGAGGCAGAGCATCATGGTAGAGCAAGCCTCACGACAGCTGAGAGACACAGAAAAGGGAAAGACAGAAGGGCAAGGGACAATGTACTCCTCAAATGCAGGCCCCAGTGACCTATTGCCTCCAACCAGACCTCACTTTCCATCACTTCACAATAATGTATCAAATGATGAATCCATCATATATATATATATATATATAGAGAGAGAGAGAGAGAGAGAGAGAGAGAACAGCAAGATATCAGTTTTGCCTAGAAAATATAATCTCTGCTTGTTTGATCTTCAGACATAATAACTCAACACAAAACCTGACCCAGGCCTGCCTGATCATATACTAAAGTGAGGAAACTGAAACCACGGCCATTATTGAATTGATTAACAACATTATAATGTTTACAATAAATTAGGTAAAACTATTAATATTCAATTTATTGAGAACTCTGTAGTTACTGTGTTTAAAAACTAGACTAGTTTAAAAAGAAAGAAAAAAAGAATAAAAAACTACATAGAATTAAATATTAACAAGACATGCATTTAAGTAGAGGGTACTAATGTACTATGAGTCACAATCTTTCCATAAATTTAAAATGATTTCCTGTATTCATTCCATATTGATGCTGAACAAAGTATCACAAACTCAGTAGCTTATAATACCAACTTATTCTGGAGAATATTACCCTGATATCAATCAAATAAGGACTCATCAAAAAAAGAATTTGCTGGGCTGGGAAGGTGGCTCAGTGGTAGAGTGCTTGCCTTGCATGCATGAGGCCCTGAGTTCAATTCCTCAGCACCACATAAGCAAAAAAAAAAAAGCCAGAAGTGGCACTGTGGCTTAAGTGGTAGAGCGCTAGCCTTGAGCTGAAGAGCTGAGGGACAGCGCCCAGGCCCAGAGTTCAGGCCCCACCACCGGACCCCCCCCCCAAAAAAAAAACAAACTTGCTTTATGAATATAGATGTAAAAATCTACTTTGTTTATAAAAACAAAATACTTGCAAATCAAGAAAACGTTAAAAAGATCATACAAATGATTGAGTTGCTTCACTTCAGAAATACAGCTATATATTATTCAGCTTCAATGTGTCTGTATATTTTTTACATACTTTTTTGCTGTTGACTTTAATTTTATTTCATTGTAGTCTGATAAAATATAAAAAGTTAATTCTGTTTTCATATATTACGTGTTGCTTTCTTTCCCCAAATATAATCTATTTTGGAGAAAGTTTTGTGGGCTTCTGAGAAGAACATATATTCTGTGACTATTGGATAAAATATTCTGTAGATGCCAGTTGATCTGTATTGTCATTCTTAAGTTCTTTTGTTGTTTGGATAACCTCTCTGTTAGTGAGAGTAGGGTATTAAAATTGACATTTGTAAATGTTGAGATCTATCTACCTCTATTTCACGTCTAGTAGTGTTTATTTTATGAAACTGGGTGCACTCACTGAGTTGGTATGTATGTTTTATCAATATGAAGTTACCTTTTTTGTCTTTTCGGACTAATTTTGATTTGAAGTCTGTTTTGTCAGGTAAGAGTGTGTTCCTTTCTTTGGGCTTCATTTACTTGGGATTTTTTTCATTCTTTCTCTTTAAGCCTGTCTTTGCTAGTGAGTTATGTTTCTTACAGGTAACCAATAGTCTTGTCCTCTTTTTTTTTTTTTTTTTTTTCAGTCTACCAAAGTTTGAAGTGTGTCTTCCCAATGTTCCATTGGGAAGATGCTTTAATTTGTCAGCGCCTGTTTTCTCACCTGTAAAATGTGGATGCTATTAGTACTTCCTTCAGAAGGCATCTATAAGATGCATAGGAAATGACTGGAACAGAATAAGGGCTCTTAACAAGGGAACAATTCACACCTACAGTTTGGAAGGGTTGTGCATATTGGAATCATTGGGGGTCTTGTGTGCCTTTTGTCATAAGACAAATTGTGCCATAGGTTAGAACAGCAGAGCTCATAAGCCTTCATACTTTCTCCTCTCCTCCCCCCCCCCCCCCCCCCCCCCCCCCCGCCTCCCTCTTTGCCAGTCCTGGGCTTGAACTCAGGGTCCGGGTGCTGTCCCTGAACTACTTTTACTCAAGGCTAGCACTCTACCATTTAAGCCATAGCGCCACTTCTGGCCTTTTCTGTTTATGTAGTGCTGAGGAATTGAACCCAGGGCTTCATGCATGCTAGGCAAGCACTCTACCACTAAATTACTTTCCCAGTCCTTCCCTTCACACTTTTAAAACTATTTCGCAAAATCACTTTCATTAAATAAAGCAATTTGGGTCAACGTGCAATCAGGTACACTTGTTACCAGGTATAAAAATAGCTAAAGCTGGGCTGGGAAGGTAGCTCAGCGGTAGAGTGCATGCCTTGCAAGCATGAGGCCCTGGGTTTGATTCCTCAGCACCACATAAACAGAAAAAGCCGGAAGTGGCACTGTGGCTCCAGTGGTAGAGCGCTAGCCTTGAGCTGAAGAGCTGAGGGACAGCATCCAGACCCAGAGTTCAGGCCCCATGATCGGCAAAAAAAAAAAAAAATAGCTAAAGCTCCATTAATACCTAGAAAACTGACAATCTATGAACTACTGTTGTCAAGGCAAAGTTTAGATAGTTTGCCCTTAAGCAAACCAAGAAAGGTACAAACTGTATTTGATTACATTTTCTGCTATTGGGTAGTTTTATTATTCCAGAGATCTGATTATGAAACCTGCAATTCAAAGATAGGATTTCTACTATGTTCTTGTTATAGGAAAGTTTTAATTTTTCCTTTCTAAAGGTTTTCATTTATAAAATGAGATTAGTGAAATTTGAGATTTCACCTACCTTTAAAATGTAGAAACTACCTTTATATATGCAAATATTTCACTTTCTTTTCTTTCTTTCTTTCTTTTTTTTTTGCGTCCGGTCGTAGGGCCTGAACTCTGGGCCTGGGTGCTTCTCTTAGCTCTTCAGCTCAAGGCTAGCGCTCTACCACTTGAGCCACAGCACCACTTGCGGCTTTTTTCTTTTTTTGCTTATGTGATGCTGAGGAATGAACCCAGGGCCTCATGCATGTAAGGCAAGCACTCTACCACTGAGCCACCTTCCCAGCTCCAAATATTTCAATTTCTTGACAGTGTCTGTTAATGCATTAAATTTAAGTCCAATTTATCTCTCCTTGGTTGTCTGTGCTTTTGATGTCATATAAAAAAATCCATTGCCGGGCTGGGAATGTGGCTTAGTGGTAGAGTGCTTATTTAGTATGCATGAAGCCCTGGGTTCAATTCCTCAGTACCACATAAACAGAAAAGGCCAGAAATGGCGCTGTGGCTCAAGCAGTGGAGTGCTAGCTTTGAGCAAAAGCTCAGGGACAGTGCTTAGGCCCCGAGTTCAAGCCCCATGACTGGCGCAAAAAAAAAAAAATCCATTGCCAAATCCAAGGTTATGAAGATTTAATACTATTTTTCTTCTAAGGGTTTTGAGGTTTAGTTTTTATATCTAGGTCAATTATTTTTTGTTTTTGATGCACAGTTTTGCAGTGTAGCCCTGTCTAGTTTGGAACTTTCCATTTTTCTGCCTTAACTTTGCCAAGTGCTAGAATTATAATTGTGTGTGCCATCAAACCCAGCTTGAGTTAACGTTTATATATATTAGGGGTCAACTTTCATTCTTTTGATGTGGATATTCACATGTTCCAGCTTCATTTGTTAAAAATCAGTTGGTCATGTGTATACAGGCTTATTTCTGGCGTCTCACTTCAGTTCTTTCCATTTACTTTTGTGTGGGCTGAGTTTCTTGTTTCTTTCCTTTTGATAACAGGATCGTGGGGTTGACAGTTCCATTTTCCAGAACCCCAAAAAGCTTCACCTAACTATTGGGATGTTGGTGCTTTTGAGTGAACATGAGATCCAGCAGACATGTGAAATGCTACAGCGCTGTAAAGAAGACTTCATTAAGTGAGTAATCTGCAGGAGTAGGGGAGAAGGACCAATCCAGGGTAGCTTCCTTTTGTATCATAGACTTGGTTTTGAACTAGGGAGCTAGATGGCAGGGAATAAGGTTTGTTGATGTACTTATTTATAGCACTTAACATTGGACTGCTGTCTGAAAGGTTGCAAATCTATTGGAGGCATACATTTATATAGTTTTATGAACTCTTAACCTTAAATTGTACTAGTTCAATAAGCAAATTTTGTTCTTAAACAAACATCTCCAAAAAAAAATTACTCCTAGTTTAGTGGCTTAAAATAACACACATTTGGGCTGGGATGTTGGCTCAGTGGTAGAGTGCTTACCTCGCATGCATGAGGCTCTGGATTCGATTCCTCAGAAAAAAGCCAGAAGTAGCACTGTGGCTCAAGTGGTAGAGTGCTAGCCTTGAGCTGAGGGACAGCACTCAGGCCCAGAGTTCACCTCCACAACTGACAAAACACACACACACACACACACACACACACACACACACACACACACACACACACACACACACACACTTATTTTCTGTGGATCAGAAGGCTTACGTGTTTGGGCTTACTGGACTAAAGTCAAAAGTGTGGGCAGGGTTGTAATCCTTTCTGGAGACTCTGGGTAAAATCCATTTCTTTACATGGAAAATCCCAGCTTTTAGAGGTTTGCTCACTTTCTTTGGCTAATGGCCCCTTTCTTCCATCCTCAATCCAGCAATGTTGCATCTCTGTCTCTTCTGTTGTTTTCTCTCTCCTTGGAACAAGTTGTTGACTTTTAGGGACTCTGTATTTTGATTTGATTGAGCCTATACATATAATCAGGCTAATCTTCCCATGTCAACCTCGACCTTAACTACATTTGCAAGATATACAAAATAGTATATTTACAAATTCCAGAGAGGAGGATATGGATGTCTTTGGAGGGCTATTTTACCTATCACAGTAGCTCAAACAGTATAGCATCATTCCCTAGGAATGTTTTGGAAACCCCTCCCTCCCTCCCTCCTTCCTTTTTTCCCTGCTTCCCTCCCTTCTTCTCTTCTTATCTTTCCTCTCTCCCTTTCTCTCTCTTTCCTTCCCTTCCTTTGTGAAGCCCAGACTGGTCTCAAATTCAAGATCCTCCTGACTCCATCTTCTGAGTCCTGGATTTACAGGTCTGAGACCCTGAGATAGGGTCTTACTCTATTGCCCTGGACTAAAAGCGGAAAATCTTCCTGTTTTAGCCTCCTGAATAACTGAGTTTACAGATATGTGCCACTATATTGGCTTTTTCCTCTTTTTTTTTTCTTTTTTCTGTGTTGCCAAGGTTGCCTCAAACTCCTGGTCTCAAGCAGTCCTCTTGCCCTAGGACTTTAGTATAGCTGGAACTATAGGTATGTATCACTGTACCCAGCCTTCTTTTTATTAACATCAGTTAGTTGTACAAGGAGACTTTGTATAGACATCATGATTTCTAGTCCCATCTATTTCCTTGCAAATGCCATAATTTCATTCTTTATGGCTAAATAATACTTCATTGTGTAATATACCACATTTTCCTGATCCATTCATCAGTTGTAGGGCATCTAACCTGCTTCTGTGCATTGGCTTTTGTGAGTAGAGCTACAATGAGTATAGGTGTACAGTTGCCCTGATATATCCTGACTAAATTCCTTTGGATATACTCACAAAAGGGATATCATTGGGTCATAGAGTAGTTCTGTTTTTAGTTTTTTTAGGAACCTTTTATACTGATTTCCATTGTAGTTGAGTTCCTAACAATAGCATATAAGGTTTCATTCCCCCCACATCCTCCCCAGGATTTGTTATTGTGATTTTTTTTTTTAACCGTTCATGGGGCCTGAATTGTGGGCCTCAGCGCTGTCCCTCAGCTCTTCAGCTCAAGGATAGTGCTCTACTACTTGAGCCACAGTACCACTTCTGGCATTTTCTGCTTATGTGGTGCTGAGGAATCGAACCCAGGGCCTCATGCATACAAAACAAGCACTCTACCACTGAACTACCTTCCTAGCCCCTGTTATTGTGTTTTTAATGATGGCCTTCTAACTGGAGTGAGAGAAAATCTGAATTGTGTTTAATTTGCATTACTTTATATGGCCAAGGATATTGAGCAATTTTTCATTTCTTTATTGGCCATATGTACTTCAAAAATTGTCTGTTTAGGGAGTTTGGCTCAGTTAAAAAACACTTGCCTGGCAAGTGCCCTGAGTTCATTTCTCAGCTTTGAAAATAAAAATTTTCCAGTTCACTTGCCCATTAGGTTGTTGATTCTTTTTGATCTCCCTGCAGATTCAAGTTACTACTTCCTTGTCAGATGTATAGCTGGCAGAGAATTTCCCATTTTGTAGCCTGTCTCTCCAGTGCAGTGATAGATTTTTTTTAATTGTCAAGGTGATGTACAGAGGGCTTACAGCTACAAAAGTAAGGTAGTAAGTTCATTTCTTGTCAAACTTGTTACTCCTTCCCTCATTTTTCTCTTACTTTCCCTCCCCCTGATATTTCTTTTACTGTGGAAAAGTTTTTAGTTTAATGAAATTCCTTTTGTCAATCCTTGCTCTTGTTCCCTGATCTATTGGGGTTTTATACAAGAAGTTACTGCTTGTTCCAATATATTTCAGTGTTTTCCCTGCTCTTTCCTGTAGTAGTTTCCAAGTTTTAGGTCTTACATTAGTATCATTGATCTACTTTGAATTGATGTTAGTACAGGACAAGAGAAGGGATCTAGTCTCAGTCTTCTGCGTGTAGATAGTCAGTTTTCCTATTTGTTGAAGAAGCTATTTTCAAGTTATATTTTGGGGTTCTTTTGTCAAAAATCAGATACCTATAACTGTATGAATTTATCCTGTGTCTTCTGTTCCCTTGGGTTTTGTATCTGTTTTTGTTCCAGCATCATTTCTTTTTTCATTTCTTTTCTCTATTCATGCCAATATGGGAGTTTGGACTCAGGGCCTTGCACTCTTTCTTAACTCTATTATCGCAGCTTGTACTGTACCACTGGAGCCATTCCTCTAGTTTCGCATTTTACTGGTTAATTGGAGTTAAGAGTTTTAAGGCCTTTTGTGCCCATGGGCTTTGAACCTTGCTTCCTAGATCTTCTCCTCTTGAGTAGTTAGGCTAACTAGCACCCAGATCTTTTTCTTTTTGTAAAAATTGCAGATAATTTAAACTAATTGTGGTGTTACATACTTCTAACCACAACCTTGGGAGCCTGAAGCCTGCCTAAGAGGCTACATGGCCCATACCTTGTCTCAAGAACAAAACAAAACACCCTCTACACAAATAAAATACAGGTACTTTTGAGTCAGCAATTTGTTTTGGCTCTAGGAAAGCTCTGGGAAAGAGTGACTACTCTTTTATTGCAAAAATTTATACATATACATATATGGTATCACAGCTTTACTTCAAAAAACCCATCTTTTTCCATCTCCTTTTACTTAAGATTAATGAAGAGAAAATTGAAGCTGACTCACTTAATTAGAGTGTGTGTGTGTGTGTGTGTGTGTGTGTGTGTGTGGTGGGATGGGGGTAGGGTGGTTACTGGGGCTTGAACTTGGGCCGGGTGCTTTCCCTCATTTTTTTAAATCAAGCCTGGCATTCTACCACTTGAGCCAGACTTCTGCTTTCAGGAGTTTTATTTTTTTTAACTAATTGGAGATAAGAGTCCCACAGACTTGTATGAGGATCTAAACTTTTCTCCAGTTAAGTTATATATATGAACTTATATAATATAGGCTTATGTTTTGGGCTTATCATCTTTTTCCATGAATGCCTTCAAAGACAAGATATTTTCTTGGACAAATCATAACCTGATTGACTTTTTAGTCTGCCTGTCCTTTCTGATGACAAAGAACACTTCTTCTTGCTCAGTGATGGGCATGTCTGTTTCTGTCTCAACCTTACCTAAAATTCAAAATAATTTGGTGTTCAGTATTAGATATTTATAGTGTCCTTATATAAAATAAAACTTTATGCTTTATTTTACAAAGCAAGTCAATTTTACTTAGTTATTGTTCTGATATTTTAAGTGTTCTTAGTTCACTTTTTTCTAAATTAGACTGAAAGTAGCTGTATTTTCCTGGCTGCCACTGGGATAATCCTACTAAGAAAAAAATTAAAGGTAGATAAAGTACTTGCTTAGAGAAGTATTTGTTCACCTAACCTCATGAAAAGCAGTTCACATGTTTTTAATCTCCAAAAGCTGTGTCCCAAGCTGTATGGGGATTTAGTTGAGCTCCTCCTTTTTGTGTCTCTTGGTGCCTTTGGGACTAAGCTTGGGCCTTTAAGCATGTCAGCATTGGTACGACTAGGGAATAAAGAGCAGTCCTAATAGTTCCTAACAATTTTTGACATGACAGGATGAAAGCAGTAACTGTAGTTTTTTCAGATTCAGCAAAGCTTTGAAATAGGACAAAGTTGACCTGCTAAAATTTTGCAATACATGCAAAATTTTGTTTGAAGATGCTCTTTTAAAAAAGCTGGAAAGATTTGAAACTAGCAAGAAAAATAAAGCAAGTCTCCTCAGCCCTCTTCTCTTGCTTCTCTGCTTCATGCCCTTTTTTCAAAAAGTGCATAGTGCAAAATTAACTCTTTTTTTTTTGTCAGTTGTGGGGCTTGAACTCTGGGCCTGGGCACTGTCCCTCAGCTCTTCAGCTCAAGGCGAGCACTCTACCACTTGAGCTACAGTGCCACTTCTGGTTTTCTGGTGGTTTATTGGAGATAGCAGTCTCATGGTCTTTCCTGCCTGGGCTGGCTTTGAACCTCGATCCTCAGATCTCAGCCTCCTGAGTAGCTAGGATTACAGGTGTGAGCCACCAGTGCCCGGCTAAAATTAACAATTTTTGAGGGTGAGAATCAGAATTGGTGGTTTGGATTGGTTAGAGGTTTCCTTGGCTAGAAAATCTCCTTTAAAAAATACTTTGCTTAACACCCTGTTGAATAAATTGTATCACATAACTATTGATTGTGTGTGTGTATGCTTTGTTGATCTCAGC